CAATGGACAAAAACTAAAAGCATTTCCCTTAAGAAGAGGAACAAGACAAGGATGCCCACTTTCACCACTCTTACTTAACATAGTACTGGAAGTCTTAGCCACAGCAATCAGACATGAAGAAAAAATAAAAGAAATCCAAATTGGAAAGAAGGAAATGAAACTGTCATTATTTGCAGATGATATGATATTATACATAGAAAACCCTAAAGACTCCATCAAAAATCTACTAGACTTAATAAATGAATTAGGCAAAGTAGCGGGATACAAAATTAACATCAATAAATTGAAACAATCCAATTTACCATCATGGCAAAAAAAATTAACATACCTAGGAATAAACTTAACCAAAGAAGTAAAGGACCTATATGCAGAAAACTACAGGACATTGAAAAAAGAAATAGAGGAAGATATAAAAAAATGGAAGTACATACCTTGTTCATGGATTGGAAGAATTAACATCATTAAAATGTCCATACTAACCAAAGCAATCCACAGAGTCAATGCAATCACCATCAAAATACGAAAGACATATTTCAAAGAACTAGAACAAATACTTCAAAAATTCATATGGAACCAAAAAAGACTCTGAATAGCCACAGCAATCTTGTAAAAGGACAAAGTAGGCAGGATCACAATACCGGGTATCAGGTTATACTACAAAGCTACTGTAATCAAAACAGCCTGGTACTGGCACAAGAATAGGCACATAGATAAATGTAAAAGAACAGAGAACCCAGATATTGACCCAAAACATTATGCTCAATTAATATTCAATAAAGGTGGCAAGAACATACAGTGGAGTAAAGACAGCCTCTTTAATAAATGGTGTTGGGAAAAGAGGACAGCTACATGCAAAAAAAATGAAACTAGACCATCAACTTACACCATACACAAGAATAAACTCTAAATGGATAAAAGACTTAAATGTGACCCATGAATCCATAAAAATCCTAGAAGAAAATGTAGAAAACAAAATTTCAGACATCATGTGCAGCAGAATTTTCACTGATACATCACCTAAGGCAACAGAAACAAAGGAAAAAATGAACACATGGGACTACATCAAACTCAAAAGCTTCTGCACAGCAAAAGATACAATCATCAAAATGGAAAGGCAACCCACTCTATGGGAGGGCATAATTGCCAATGATACATCAGATAAGGAGTTAATTTCCAAAATATATAGAGTGCTCATACAACTCAACAAAAGGAAGACAACCCAATTGAAAAATGGGCAGAGGAACTAAATAGACACCTCTCCAAACAGGACATACAAATGGCTAAGAGACATATGAAGAAATGCTCAACATCACTAATCATCAGAGAGATGCAAATCAAAACAACAATGAGGTATCACCTCACAACTGTCAGAAAGGCCACCATCAACAAATCATCAAACAACAAGTGTTGGCGAGGGTGTGGAGAAAAGGTGACTCTATCTAGTACACTGCTGGTGGGAATGCAGACTGGTGCAGCCACTGCGGAAAACAATATGGTGTTTCCTCAGAAAATTAAAAATTGAATTACCATTTGTCCCAGTGATCTCACTCCTAGGAATATACCCTAAGAAGCCTGAAACACCAATCAGGAAGAATATATGTACCCCCATGTTCACAACAGCACTATTTACAATAGCTAAGATCTGGAAACAGCCCGAGTATCCATCAGTAGACGAATGGATAAAAAAGTGTGGTACATATACACAATGGAGTACTATGCAGCTATAAGAAAGAAAGATCTCTTATCCTTTGAGACGACATGGAAGGACCTGGAAACTATTATCCTAAGCAAAGCAAGCCAAGCAGAGAAAGACAAATATCATATGATCTCATTTATTTGTGAAATATAATGAACATAACAGTCTGAGGAACACAGTAGTCCCAGAGACGTGGAAATAGGGTACAGACTGACAATCGCCAGAAGAGGAGGTGGGGGGGTGGATAGATAAACCACAGAACTTATATGCATGTACGCATAACCAATAGACATGGACAACAAAGCTGGGGACTGGGCAAGGAGGGTGTCAATAGGAGAAAAATCTGTAACAAAAATAAATAAAAATATAAAAAATAAAAAGCAATGGAAAAATATTCTCGGGTGAAGATTAAGAACAATAACAAGAACAAAATGGGGGAAGTTCTTTCACAGTGTATCCATAATACCAAATCACCAGATGTACACCTTAAACATCTTACAATTTTGTATGTCAATTATATCTCAATAAAGCTGAAGTTAAAAAAAAACTACCATCTGACTCAGCAATTCCCCTTCTGGGTGTTTATCTGAAGAGTTCAAAAAGATATCTGCACCCCTATGTTCACTGCAGGATTATTTACAATATCCATGATATAGAAACAACCTAGACATCCTTCAACAGATAAATAGATAAAGATATAAGTGAGCCAGAGAAAGAAATACCATATGATCTCACTTCTTTGTTGAGTCTAAAACAAAGAAACAAAAAGAGAGAGAGAGAAAAAGACAGACCAAATTCATAGATATAAAGAACAGACTGGGCCCTGGCCAGTTTGGTTCAGCAGTTGAGCGTCAGCCTGGGGACCAGAGAGTCCCGGGTTCGGTTCCTGCTAGGGGCACGTACCACAAAAACAAACAAACAAACAAAAAGAAGAGATTGGTAGTTTCCAGAGATGGGCGTTGGGGGTGGTGTAAGATGAATGAAATGGGTGAAGGTGGTCAAAAGGTACAGACTTGCAGTCATAAACGTCAAGCACAAAAGTGCTTCAATCCTTCTTATAATAACCACACAAACATAAATATACAGCACAGCAGCTATAGTTAATAATAATACTGTATTGCACATTTGAAAGTTGCTAAGAGAGTAGACCATAAAAGTTATCACCAGAAAAAATATCCTTCAAGTGTGTATGGTGATGGACATTAACTGGGCTTATTGCAGTGATCACTTTGTAATATATACAATTATTAAATCATGTTGTATACCTGAAACTAATGTAATGTTGTATGTCAATTAGACCTCAAAAAAAAAGTCATTTTGGAAGAATACAAAAATGTTAAAAAAATAAAAGTTTCATAAATATAGAACCTACTGTGAGATACTATTTTATAATATCCTTTCCACATAAATCATCAGATTTTAATGTTAGAATGCATACTCCCACTCACCACCTTATTTTAAAAAAGAAAAGTAAATAAGCACTCAGTTGCTTAATGATCACAAGTCTTCAACATTTTTGCTCAGGTATTTCTAAAGATATGAGAAAAATCTCTGAATATTTTAAAGTTGCAAAACATGTAACTTATAGAGTACTGAAAACATTAACATTATTCTAGAACTGTTACATCAATCTTTTAAGTAAATACAATGGGATCCAAATGCTATAGTGATTTGATACTTAACATCTCCATTAAAAAAAGAAAGAAAATGCTAGACTATGATAGTTGGAAAAATGGACATTTTGGAACTCATATTTTCATTCTGCTATTTCCAAATAATTTTATTCTAATGCAATATATATTTATGCCTGAAAAACTTTTACTGATCATTCTTTACCAGTTCTTCATAACAAAAATACGTAAATTGAAATTTAAAATTGTAAATTAAAAATAATTTTCTGACTGTAAGTCTGTTAAAAATTCTTCTGTATTGAGTTATTATTTACAATTTTTATGAGCATGAGAATAAAATTAATTAAAACATATTCGCAAATTTTGATAGAAGCATGAAAACTGATTTCAGAAACGCATTTCTTAGTGGCATGAATGGTACCTTCCCCCCCTCACATTAGTTTGTGTATCTACTGTAGTTCAATATTACTTACTTCTAGGAAGTTAGAGTTTAGTGTAAATTCTACTGATGTTTATGGGTGGAAATATTGAGAAACCCTATTAGTATAAGGTAGACATGAAAGAAGTTCTGTCACACTCAGGCCTCTCAATTTTTAGACTCCTTCCAAATTAACTACCAAAAATCACACCCACACCAGGATCTAGTATCAAAAAATAATTTAGTCACCTATCAACTGACGAATTGTTAAAAAACACCAATTTTTCATTAGAAGGCCCCCTGGTCATTCACTTTGTCAACATTGATGAGAGGCACCATAGCAAGATAAGGGTAGTGAGAGAAGTCCAACCCATTTCAACTAGCGCTTCAATCCTTTTTATAATAACCACACAAAGGGTGGACATAAAAGCCGTTAAGTGACGGGGAAACGTGTGTCTTCTAGGCAGAACCTACGTGATGACAGACATGTTCTATATCTATACTGTCCAACATGATAGCTACTAACAACAAGTGACTATTTAAATTTAAAAATTTATAATGCTCAATATTCACATATGGTTAGTAGCAACTATTAAACAGCATATTTAGACCCTTGTACTCAAAGTGCGGTCTGCAGCTTTGGCTGGTGCATAACCTCAGGCCCTGCCTCGGATCTGCTCTATCACATACCTTTTAACAAAATCCCCGGGTGACTCATATATACCCGAAGTTTGAGAACCACTGTGCTAGTAACCTCCAGTTTGTAGAAAGTTTTTCCTTACATTGACCAAAAAAAAAACAAACAAAAAACAACCTGCCTCTATGACATGTACACCCTCAGGTCTTAATTCCTGCTCCTGGTTACAAAGTGCAAAATCAAAACCCCGTCCAAGCAACAGCCCTTCCAAGTATTTGAGCAGCTTCTAACCCCGCCCCCCCTTTCCTCTTTTCCCCACATCTGATTTCCTCGAGGTTAAATACAGAGAACTCCTAGTTCTGTGCGAGACAGGGCCCCAGACCGGCGTCCCGACTCTCGCAGAGCACGTGTCAAGCTCGGTGAGTAAAAGAGCAGGCTGCTCTCTGGGTCCCCAAGAAACTAGGAGTTCTGGCCTCTGGGCTTCTCAAACTGACTTCCAAGGCCGACAGCAGGGTGGAGCCTCCTGCGTGGCTTCTCTGCTCCCACTCGCAGCCCCAGTCCTGTCACGCGCCTCCATCTCCGCCAGCAGCCTAGTTCCTCCCTTTCCCCGGCTCACACCTGACTCAGAAGACGTGGTCGAGACACGATGCCCCGCAGATCTATGTAGACGGGGGAGGAAAGCCCGCTCTTCAGCACGAAATCCCCAAACTTGAAAGCCTGCACGTCGTACAGACTCGTTACCAACGACCCCAAAACTGCAGGGACGGCCGCCATAGCGCAACGGACCGCATTCGCGCCAACCGCCCAAGTGCGCGAGAACGGCCGCGCTCGGGGACGTCATCGCGGAAGCCCCGCCCCTTCCGCCCCCTTTTCCGGCGGCGGGGTGACTGGGTGCAGCTTCTGCGGCGCTGGTAGCTGGGGTCCGAGTGGTGGTGCATCTTGCCTTGCTTGTGCTGGCCACCTCTGCGCGGGTTCAAGGGGTCTTAAAGCCCCGAATGTTGTGGCAGGACGGAGTCAAAGAAAGACCGCTAGAGAACTGAAGTCCAAATAAGAGCCGTTTATTGGCCAGCGAGGTCTGATTCCAAACACCCCTGTGGCAGAGCCTTTGGAGATCAGCCCGACCTCCTTACACACACCTGTTAAAGCTTAAAACCATGCCCTGGCCGGTTTGGCTCAGAGGTTGGAGCGTCGGCCTGTGGTCCAGAGAGACCCGGGTTCGGTTCCGCTAAGGGCATGTACCTCGGTTGCAGTTTATCCCCGGCCCTGATTGGTCGTGCGGGTGGCAGCCACTCGATGTGTCCCTTCACATCGATGTTTCTCTCTCTCTCTCTTTCTCTCTCTCCCTCCTGCTCTATCTGAACAAAAAATGGAAAAATGTCCTCGGGTGAGAATAAAATAAATAAATAATAAAAATAAAGCTTAAAACCACATTCCGCTATGCACTGGGGCATAGCAAGCAGGCGCGTACAGAAGCGAAAATAGGCAGTTAGGCAGTTGGCTAACCTGGGAACCTGACATTTCTTGGTCCAGTGTCTGGGAACCCGACATTTCTTGGACAGCAGGTATTTCCATCTACTAAGGTTATTTTGATCTCTATCCTGTTAATTAAATTCCTTACAAAACAGGTTCAGCTAGAGGGCACACAGTGATTTTACCAATCATCAATTATGGAGCTATAAACATGTCAGCACATTCCTCGCTGGTTTTTAGGAGGAATCAAGTTGTTTCCTCATCATTTCCAGTACAGATATGTTGATTGTTGTAACCCAGGAGATCGACCACACTCAGACTCAATTTTTCAATTTTGGGGGATGTTTTATTACCTGCACAGGGACTGCAGCCAACCTACACAGAGGAGAACTGCAGCCCCGAGCTCAGGGGGAGGGTTGCTTATATAGGGCAGGGGTCATTCAAGAGTTTAGCAGAGCAAGCAAGCTGCTTGTACAGAAGTGGAGGCAGTTAGCGATAAGATAAGCAGGAGGGAACGGAGGTGGGAGGGCTGAGGCGAAAGGGAACTGGGTCAGCATACATCTATCCTGCTATTCATTCCATTATCCAAGTTTTAAAAACTAACAAATTCGAGAGGGATATCAGCAGTCAGTCAGGTGCAATATACACATGTCTAACAGTTACAGTTTTATGGGGTAAAGGGAGCTTCAGTTTCTCCCTATCAGTTTCTTTACAGAGCATGCAGGACACTCTGGCCTTGGGGCCGTTTCTGTCCTCCCTTTTCCTGAAGGATGTTGCTTTTCAAATTCCCAGTGAAGGTCAAACTCTGGTTAATTTTTATGGGGCTAAAGCCCTCTATAACATTCCCCATTGTTCATCTTGCTGTCTCTGAGGTTGTTAATTAGGGCAGCTCAAAGACAAGTTGGATTCTAAGGACAGTGAGCTACAACAGATAATGGGTCTGTAAGACCATAAGTTTCACAGCCTGGATTCTTTTTCTAGCATATGCAGCAAAGCAATTTATGACGCAAGGTCCGAAAAACAGTCCTAGGATGATTAGTATTAGGGGACCTGCGGCAACAGATAAGAGAGTAGTTAGCCATGGGACCAGTAATATAATCCCTCAAACAAGTTGTCACCGTTTTTTTGTTGTTCCTCTCTCTCAGTCTTTGTCTCACCATAGATAGGCTGTCTTTGATAATGCCAGAATGATTGGCATAGAAACAGCAGGTTTCTTCTAGGGCCAGGCATAATCCCCCTTGTTTTAGAAAGAGTAGGTCGAGTCCTTGTCGGTTCTGGAGGACTACCTCTGCCAAGGAATTTAATGAATTTTCTAAACGAGAGACTGACTTTTCCAGATCTTGTAGATCTAGATCTATTCGGTGACTTAGAGTTTTGAAGTTTTTGTCTCCAGTTATAAGAGCAGCAGTTCCCACCACAGTGGAGCCTGCCAATCCCATGCCTACTAGAAGGGGCACAAGGATAGGGGCCCTTTTGGCCCACTGCATCTGTAATCAAAAATGTTCCTGTCCCGCCCTGGACGGTTTGGCTTGGCGGTTAAAGCATCGGCCTGCGGTCCGGAGAGACCCGGGTTCGGTTCCCGCTAAGGAACCTCGGTTGCAGTTTGTCCCCAGCCCTGGTTGGTCGTGCGGGTGGCAGCCACTCGATGTGTCCCTTTCACATCGATGTTTCTCTCTCTCTCTCTCTCTCTCTCTCTCTCTCTCTCTCTCTCTCTCCCTCCTGCTCTATCTGAACAAAGAAAAAAATGTCCTCGGGTGAGGATAAAAAAAAAAAAATGTTCCTGTCCCTCTTCTCCGGAGTATAAATAAACCTGTGGAATAACATGGGTTAATACACAGAGGCCAACTTCTTTAGTCATAGCACGAGGGTGGATGCAAGGGGTGAGACCAGTAGTGCCAGCAAACCAAGTGCCTTCAGGGGCTGCTAGGAAAAAGGGGCCCTCGTTGGAGTCGGAGTTCTCAGGTTCTTCAATAGATAGTATTCCTAGACAAGAGTCTCAGTATGCTGAGTTATGCACCCAGTAGCCCTTGGATATGAGACAAAGTCCCCATCCTTGTCAGTCTCCCAAAGTTAGTTTTGGTTCCTATCCCCAGTGACAAATATTTATGTCCCGCGTGATATTTTTGATGGAACTATTTCTGATCTAATCCATAGAGGAGCCTATGGATCCATTTGTCTCAATCTCCACATATTATGGAGGGGATGGATTTAGACAGAACCAGCAGTCTGAGGTGGCATTGGGATTAGTCTGGTTTACAAATCTATAGACCGTTTCAAGAGTGTCTAAGAGAGGCCTCTTGGGAGGTATCGGCTGAGTACTGTGGGACTCTGGAGTGTCTATGAGGTTGAGGGTAGGAGACTAGGAGTAGTATCAGGTTCCTTGTCCAAAATAGCGTTAAGAACCAAGTGAGGACCTATTGGCTTGGTAACCTGCTTGATGGGAGACTTTTGAATAGTAAAAGTCGTGCTGGGATTTCTACCTGTTGCATACAGGCGCAGGCCCCAAGTCCTGCCTGTCAGCCAAATGGGGAGGTCCTAAATTTTTAGTTGTTAGGACAGGGTTGCAAATTCCTGGTATTGTACATCTTTCTGGTGGGGGCTGGATTTGATGTAGGAAGTGAATATCTGGGCCCCTGGAGGTCCAGGGGGCCAAGGTTTCACAACCCCAAGAAGCACAATGATATTCATCTGGCCCCTGGCACTCTGGGCTCCCCTCACCAGGGCAAATATAGTGCTGAGAGTACCATATCCCTTTTTCTAAGGAGATGGTACCAAAACCGTAGGCTGGAACCCCTACACATCCCCCACATCTAGGTGGGGACATATTCTATTTTAGTCCAAAGAGGTTACACATATCAAATCGAAATTGGGGAGCCCCATAAGTGGGGTAGGGAGAGATGTATTGTCCATCAGCGGTTCGGGTGAGGGTCCAAATATGTAGGGTTGGTTGATGAAGATTTCCTTGAATTACAGTGGCCCCAATCAGGACAATCAGGATCAAGAGAGTTTTACCTTTAAGGATCCCCCGTAGGATGGATGGTCCATCTTTCCAGTATCTGGTCAGAGTGTGCCTTCTTTACCTGAGTATGGTGAATCCAAAATCGGTGGCCTACCACCTTACGGGCCATTGGAGTGGTTAGGATCACTGGCAATGGTCCAGTCCATCTGGGTTTGAGATAAGCAGGTTGGATTTTCTTGACCCAGATCCAATCTCCTGGTTGGATGTTGTGAGGTCTGAATTATCTGGAAGAGAAGGCTTAGGAAGAGAATCCTTTATTATCTGATGATTTCTCTGTTGGACGAATTGCAGAGCCTGTAAGGCAGTGGTTCTCAACCTTCCTAATACTGCGACCCTTTAATACAGTTCCTCATGTTGTATGTGGGCGTATCTACACGTGTGTGGACCCGTCTGGAGATGGATTGAAGAGCAGTAACTCGGTTCCTAAGACCATCGGAAATATGTGTTTTCTGATGGTCTTAGGTGACCCCTGTGGAAGGGTCGTTTGACCCCCAAAGGGGTTGTGACCCATTGATTGAACCGCTGCTAAGGACTTAAGAAGAGAATGATTATTCAACTCAGCTAATGTTTCCTCCCCTGTCTTGGGGAGGAGAGGTGGATGTAAGGGGAACATCTAGTCTTTAGTAAGGCAAAGGGAAGGAGACTCACCCAATCTTCGCCTGTCTCTAGTTTTAATTTAGTGAGGGTTTCTTTTAGTGTTTGATTCATCCTTTCTACCGGTCCTGAGCTCTGAGGTCTGTATATGAAATGGAGTTTCCAAGTTATGTTTAAGATTTTAGCTACTGCTTGGGTAATTTGGGCGATAAATGCCGGGCCATTGTCGGACCCCATTGCTAAGGGAAGGCCGAATTGGGGAACTATTTCCAAAACTAATTTTCTAGCAACTGTCTGAGCTGTCTCTGATTTGTTGGGAAAGGCTTCAGTTCATCCTGAAAAAGTGTCTATGAAAACTAGAAGGTACCTGAATATGAATTTTCCCAGGATCACCTCAGTGAAGTCTACTTCCCATTCTTCCCCAGGCCCTTGTCCTCTGGTCTGTGTCCCGGGTGTCAGTTTTTCCTTCCGGGCTTGGTTCACTTGTGCACAGGTAGGGCATCCGGCTGCAATCTGTTTGGCATAGCTGTGGAGGTTAGGTGTATAATAGTCCCTCCAGAGAAGTTCAGTTAGTTTAGTTCCCCCTAGGTGGGTATCTGGTGTGTCTTGTGGACGAGGTCCTGTCCCAGAGCCTCTGGCAGCAATATTTTGTGGTTGGGGAGTATATGCCATCCGATGGTGTCCAGTGTCCCGCCTAAAACATTATTT